AAAATACGGCCGCGCAGCAATTACGAGTCCCCTCTCTCATCTTGTATCGTTCTGGGGTTCATTAAACGTCGCCATTGATGTGTTTTGTATCTGGTATGCGGGCGGGATTGTAGTTGACTTGTAGATGGCGTTTGTGAACTGTCATCATAGAGTGAAAGATCACTGCACAAGTGGGGGAAGGAAAGAAAATCTGAATCGAAAGGAAGAAAGCAACCGAAAGGACGATGATTCATGCGAAAAGAAGGCGCGTCGTATGGCGTTGGTGAATGGAGATAGCCTCAAGGCTATGGGATACTGTGGCTACTTGCAGTGGTATAGTGTGGCAAATATATATATTTTCGAACGTCCACCACTTTTTGATAGAGTTCCTAGACGTTAGTCTAGGTGTAAGCAAGAAAAAAGGGGACTCGTTATTACACGTGTTCACTTTTTTTCTGTAAAGTACACGTGTTCACTTCTCCTTATGAGGGGAACGGGGTGTGAGGGGAACGGGGTGGCGCTGAACTTTTTTTTCTGTAATAAATTTTTCTTTTCTGTTTCTTTTTTTTTCTCACTTCTCGTAAATTGTTCACCCAACGTGGATTGTGATCCAATTCTTTCTCTCCGTCCGATGCAATCGTTCCTCCGGTACTTCAACACCACTACTCTACGGTGCGACGCAGTAGCCGTCACATTTCTTCGCATTGGACATGCACACAACAGTATCGTTAAGGGTTTGAAGCCTGGAAGCGCAGAAGCGCACTTGTCCCGCGCTCGGCGACAATTGGTTTGCGTTGCATGAGGCCGGCTTGCTCGTTGCGTCTTGGCAAAACGTGATCTTCGTAATTAATTAACTTCACAAAATCTGGGCCGCTGAGGAACCGAACTGCACACGATGTGACTCCAAATTCCTCCCAGCACTCGAGCGAGATGCAGGCTCCGCCAGCATCTCGCTCTGCTCCCTCGCCCCCTGCCTCCCCTCTTCATCGTACAACCCAGCTGTCAGCCGGAATGTCTACGGGCAGTCCCACCGCCCCATATACCTCGCCGACACCTCCACGCGCACTTGCCCGGGCTCCCTGACAAACCGCCGCAAGTCCACAACCTGCCCCATCACGCACCACGTACACCCACTCACAAAGTTCACGCTCCCTTCCCCGCTCGCTCCATGCTCCACGCGCCACCGCCCGTCCATGCTCTCCCACCCGTCCATGCCCTGCCGCCCGCTCGCGTTGTACACCATGTTCGCCCCGCGCTCCTCCTCCCCCTCCTCCGCCTCGCCGCTCCCACACATCGCGCGCTCCAGCAGCAGCTCGCAATCGCCGCCTGCCCCGTTCCTGTGGCGCGCCTCGCCGTTCGGCATGGGCGTCTCGCGCACGTGGGCCGGGGGCACTCGACCGGCTGCGGCGTGCGGCCCTCCCCCGCGCGGACGTCGTCGCGAGGGTGGCACGCGACGCAGAAGTGCGTGCTGCCGAAGCAGACTTAGCGCGCTTTCGCGCCGCAGCGGCCGCACTTCCACACGTGGAAGGGGGCGTAGCGGGCGTGGTGGCACTTGCGCGAGGTACGCGGCCTGTAGGTGGCGCGCAGGCTGTCGTCGGGCGCGAGGCATCTCGGCATCATCCGCGACGTCGGCGCGGCGCACTGTCGGCGCACTGTGCCGCCGAAAGTACGGGTCGCCGCACGGGGCCCACAGGTAGAAGGCGTAGATGCGGCGGCCGTAAGCGAGGGCAGCAGGTTCGGGGAGGGAGATGTTGTCGGCGCGCAGCTACTCGCGGATCAGGGCGTCCAGCTTTGGCAGCACGGCGTGAGGGACGGATGGGTGCAGATGGTCTGGCATTGGGCGCAGCGGCAGGCCGAGAGGAGGAGACGGCGCGACGAGGTCAGGGGGAGCTTTGTGAGTTGTTGGTGAAGGTGTAGCGAGCTGCGTCGGGCTGCGGCTCTTCGTCGATCGCAGCCGGTCGGGGTGCGCCGCGGGCAAGGGCATTCTGCTCGGCACGAGGCGACCGGCGGCGTTAAGGGCCGAGTTGTAGAGCGCGCGGGAGGACTCGGTCGTGTCAGGCACATGGGTGGCGCGGCTAGGGGCGCAGTGCTGTGAGACGGAGAGCGGGCCCTGCCAGCCTTTCGTTTCAAGGTCGAAACGAAAGGCCACTACCGCGCACGACAGTTGGCCTTGTCAGAACAAAGGCAGCACCCGACAGATCCCCAAAGGCGGGGATCATCGGATCGCGGAGTATCGCCAACAGTGCCACCCTAAGGATAGACCCTCCTCCTCGCTTCCTCCCAGCGCGCGCGCGACCCTCGCTTTCCGACGCCGTCCACGCTCGCTCGCGAGGAACTTTCAAACCGACCGGTTGCTACAAAGGCAGGACAGATGGTAGATGCGGCCGCAGGTTGGGGTTACAGTGGGGGAGGCAGCGAGGGGGTAGAGGAAGATGGCACAGTCCGTGGACGTGTCCGTGAAGTTGGCGGGAGCGGAGGAGGACGGGTTTGTGGACATCATGTCCATGATGGTTCGAGGGGGGTGCGTCGGAGGCAGAGGGGGTATGACAGAGATACAGGGTCTCGCTAGCTAGAGAGAAGGGCGGAGGGAGATGAAGCTCTGACAGAAACGATAGGTCTTTCTCGCAAAGACTGGGAAACTACGCAATGACGGGTGAGGTGTATATTGTTTGATTGGCATCAGATGGGACTAACGCTTACAATGCGCGACTGAGAATTTGGCAATTAAGGGTGACCCCACCGCCAACAAAATTTCTGTCCTAAAATTCCAACCACTAAAGTTTGGACCGCTGGACTAAAGTTCGGACCGATGGAAGAAATTTTGAACCCCACCGCGCCACCATTTGTCCTAAAGTTTAGAATTTGGGAAGGATTCTTTTCCAAACCAAAATTATTTGGTCGAGATTTTTGTCCAAAGCGCCGTTTGGGCGAGCTTCGTTCTATAGTAACGGTACAGAAAACATCTGAATTTCATGTGCTTACAGCTCTACCAAAGCTCTTCCAAATGGCTTTGGGGCTGTTTTGACTGAAGTCCCATCAATAGTGTGGGACGCAAAAAGGAGTGTTGTGCAGCCTTCGCTCGTGGACATTTCCCATCTTCTCCCTCCTTCTCGTCTTCTGAGAAGTGCAGGCAATGGCTGAGGTGGTTACTAGGACTGATGACTCGGCAGTAAGAGTGAGGAAAAAGGGTAAGGGACTGGGGTGGTCAGACGAGGAGAATCTTGCCCTGTGCGTTGCTGAGAGCGCAGTGTCTGAGAACGCCGCGAATTGAAAGCGTGGTGTACTTGCCGAGTTGATAATTCCCAAACAGGAGCCTACATATTATGGAGAGCGGGCAAGTGACGAGCAAAAGTTGCCGCCAATTGTGGAACAGACGCGTGCAGTAGCTTGCTTCTTTGCGCCAAATGTATTTCTACGACATACTTGTAGCCTAATTGGGGTGACCCTGAATATGAATAGATGTATCGTGTTACAGGCGCAGTGGGGTTCATCTCTGAATCACCACCTCCCCCAAAGCGCGGCTTGATTAAAAGATAGTAGATCCAATTACCGGAGGACAACTGTCTGCTTTTTGCGATTTTGGGCAAGGCGCGGTGGGGTCACCCTAATTAGCACAATTTCTAGCCATTTATTTTTCGGGTTGGAAGTGATTCATTACAGAACTATTCAATGGCACTGTAGTCATTGCCTCATATATCAGCATCGGGGTCGCGATCTGGCATTCCAGCTCTGTGCAACTGCAGGGACATGCGCCTCGCACGCTTCCGACGATAGCGCTCCTGGGACTGCCGTCGGCGCTCTACTTGTTCCACACCGATGATTGTACAAATGATTGTGAACTCCTCTGGATCAAAATTGATCATGCTGACAATTGCTCGCCCTCCGCCGCGCTCGTAGAACCGATCAAAGATCGGGCTGTCAGAGTCGCTTTCTTCATCTGAATCGGAGACGTCAGGCTGAACTGAGAATTTCTCAAGCTCGTTCTGACGTTCTACTGCAGCGTCAGCAAGAATTTGCAGAGCGTTGGCGGCGTCAGCTGAGGAATATTTCTGCATGTCGGTGTGCCGGAGTCAAGAGAGCAGAGGCCGGAACAGATCAGAGGGGCAGGAGGGGGACAGAGGAGCGGGTCGGCGTTGCAGGGGGATGGGGAAGCAGATCGTGGGAGCGAGAGGGGGGTGGAGGAGCAGGTCGGAGGGGCAGATGACAGATGGAGGAGCATGTGGTAGGGGCGGGTTTGGGGATTGTGGAGTGCATTGGGGGGCCGGAGGGGTGTGGCGGCTCCGATATGGGCATAGGGGTTGTGTTATTGTCGAAAGACTTGGGCATTTGACAAAAGGCTCGGTCAGGGAATGGGGTGGCCTGAGGCTGCTCAATCACAATAAGCTCATGAAGCTACCACGTAATTGTGGTCGTGCTGCCCCTTGCTGTAGAATACCTGCGTACTGAATTATGGCACTGTAAATATGTACGGTTGGAAACGTATCCAATTGTGGATGTATTTTATTGATGATGATTGATTCTTGGGGCATATACCCCATAACTACGTGGAAGGCCTAAACTTACATTCATGAGACTTTGTTGTAGGTGCAAAACAAAGTTATGAGGTACTGTACACTAACTCCTCATCTGGCCAACAGACAGTGATTTTGCCCTGACGGACTTTTTGTAAGAGCAGAAGAAACATATGTCGACAACAACGAGAGTCGTAGATGAGGATCCCCTCAGTGGTCTCAAAGGTTGATGTCAAGCTGTTGATGCTGTCAACAGCTTGTCTTCCAAAAGTTCGAATGTACAGTATGTACTGTACCGAAGGGTACCTAATGTATAGTATGTACTGTACTGAAGGGTACCCAATGTACAGTATGTACAAGTGGGCTCCGTGCGCGCTTCGCGCGCCGAGCCAAGAAAGCGTGGAGGAACACTCTTTGGGAAGGGTGGCAATGAAAAGATGTAAAGACAATGGCGTTTACTTTTTTTGGTAACTACTGAAGGACCTCGGGATACACTATGTTTCGCGTTGTTTAATTGGACTCTCGAGTGAGGAGAGTGACGTTTCCTGGGTGAGTAGTCCTTGATAGTGCGACGTAGAGTTGACCGTGCGAGAAGCAGTGATCTCGTAAGTCGAGACCAATGCGGCCACCGAAGGATTGGCCTTGCACTTTGTTCGTTGTAAGGGCGAAGCACGTGCGAATGGGGAACTGCGTTCGGGTGAAGCCAGGGATGGGAAAGTTGTCGTCTCCTGGTCCGCAGGGCATTCGAGGAAGACACAGTCTGTTGCCTTGGTGTGACCCAGTGGTAACGCGTAGAAAGAGCAGGTTGTTGGTCATGTTCTCGATGACATATCGCGCGCCGTTGACGTGACCGGTAGCGGGATCGAGATTGCGCAGAAGCATGACGATGAAGCCTTTCTTGAGCTTGAGCTTGTGGTCTGGTAGAGCAGATCCGGCGGTCAAGGTGTTGAGCATTTCTGTGGGGTAGATTAGCGCGTTGGTGTCTTCGTTCTCGACCTCGTCTGCGCTCAAATACGTTCGACACGGTCCCGGAATCATGTTGCCGATGACCTCTTTGACTTCCTCGAGCGGCCTGTTCTTTGTGGTGAGTATATCGCGCTTGGTGAGGCAGGCAGGGTGGGCGTGATTGTCTCGAATCCCTTGGAAGACCTTGAGGCATAAATTGCGGATGGTATGCTCGAACGCAACGGACTGTGGTAGTGAGATCCATTCCGGGCGCTGTTCGCCGTTAAGTCTGCCTTCCCCGACGCTGAGGAGGAACTCTGGAAAGTTGAGAGCCTCCACATCTGCTGCAGGGTCCGCTCGGAGAGCAGCAAGGCGCATGTTCTCGGTAAGGCGCAGGAATCGGCATTCTCGATACAGCAGGGAAGCCTTAACGCACGCGCTCACGATTTGACCTCGGGACCCGCCCGGAACGACAGGAAGGATTTGTCTAAAGTCTCCAGCGAGCACGAGGAACTTTCCTCCGAAGGACCGGTCGGTTTGCATCAAGTCGCGAAGGGAGCGATCGACAGTCTCAATGCAATGTCGATGGCACATGACGATCTCGTCCCATATGATGAGATCGACTTGTTGCAGTGTACGGCCAGTGTCGGAGTTTGCGGAGAAGCTGCACGTGCTTTCGGCAGATACAGGAATGGGAACCTTGAACACGGAATGAGCAGTGCGTCCACCGTCGAGCAACACAACAGCAACAGCAGACGTAGCGACAGCGATGACTTGCTTACGGCGCGTACGAAGGAAGTCTTGAATGGCGCTGAGCACGAATGTTTTGCCTGTTCCGCCGGGATCATCGAGGAAGAAGAGACGACCACTTCGTGTCGGCATAGAAGGTCCCGCCACGCCGCTTGAGGATCCTTGAAGCAATGCAGAGACGGATACGCCTGGAAGCATGGAGCCCACTATTTCGTCAAAGGCATGGCGTTGATTTGTGTTCAACAGCGGCAGGGCCGTCTGCAGTCGCTCTTCCCACTGCTGCGCTCTTGCTTCGGGGGTCTCGATCTCGTTTTGCTGTTCCAAAGCGGGAAGGCTGTCATCGGGCGGTGGGAGTCCGAAGTTTGCGAGCGTCCAGTCGGAACGCACGGTCTGCAGGGCCTCCTGTACCTCTCGAAGCACGTAAGATTTGGCGCGGTGATCATCGCGAAGCTGCTGTCTTCGAATGGGTTGTCCGCGTGCACGATTGCGAATATCGGTGAGAAACATGTCCAGGTGGTCGTTCCACAGCGAGAGAGGGTCCGAAGCCTGGCAGTGTGCCAGAATCGTAGCAAACAGATGAGAAAGAGGAACGAAGCTTGACCGGAATGAATCTCGGATTGCGTGCTTCCACTCGGCATCATCGGCCAGCAAACCGAGTCGTAAGCAAGCTTGTCGGAAGCTGGTGCACTGCTCGCCGTCGATATTTCGCAAGGTCTCGAAGGATGTTGCACCTGGCACTTGTGTGAGGAGGAGGCGAAGAAATTAGCGCTCACCCTCCCTCAGACTGACAGTGTAGATTCGACCGACTACGTTGACACCTGTACCACTGAAATCGTAGGCTTCCTCTTCGCTGCTGGCGTTCCGTCTTCGCAGGGTTGCTCTTGGACTCCATGACTTGGTGTGTGTCTTCCACGTAAAGTACCTTGGAAACTTGTGGTACCGAATATGCCGCGCGCTTGGGTACTTCTCGTTGGCTTTAAACCACTCGGTCAGCTTCGTGCCTGTTGCTGGTCGAAGCGCCGCCTCCTGCTCTCGCCCTTCCTCAAAGTACACCGTGTGGTGGTTGGGCAGATGCACTGCAAGCCTGACTACTGGAGGATTGCGGTCTACAATGTCAAAGGAGAATAACCTCCATGCGGCCTCCGATGCCGAAACGTATCTGGCATCTTGGAAGTTGGAGATCTCGTCGTAGCGCTCGTTCTCGGCAGTGATTTCCATGGTCACTCGGTCTTGTCCCTTGCACAAATACTTGAAGAGGTACTTGACTCCGCCAACGCGTGACACGCAGAGTTCAACATTCAAATGGCAAGCGAATGAACGTAGAAGCACAGGACTGTGGGGAACGACCCAGGAGTTGTCTACCACGACGGGTTGCTGTCGTCGGCCAATACGGGAGGGTCGCTCGATAGAGACGCCACCTGCAGAGGGTGCCCTTCTTCGGTACGTGATGTAGTACTCACTGTCGGACTGGCTGGTTTCGTGTTTGAACGATTTTGGAAACCCTTTCCTGCAGTGCCGCTCCCCCATGCACACAGCTGTTGGATTGTGTTCTCCACATGGAGTGTGAATCATATGCTTGAGCACGACCTCTTGGAGTTCTGGATCTTGGGCAGACGGGATCTCGGCAGAGATAATGCGGTAGACGTTTTCGGGAGTACGCAGATCATTCTTAGAGACTTCATCTAGGAAAAATACAACCTGAGCGTGGGGAAGACCGCGTTTCTGAAACTCGATGACTCGTACATGGGCAACAACGGTTCCGAATACTTCTTCGTTGATGACCAAGGACATGAGATCTTACATTTTCAGACGAAACACACGTGCGCACAGATTCGGTCTGTCCTGAAGCGTTTAGTTCGGCAGTAGGGCTCTTTTGACCTCCGGCCAGCTTGGATTGCATGTCATGGTGAGGAAGATGTCCGGGTGGCCAATTTGGTTCGATATAGCAATGATGTCGTGCATCTGCTGCCTCATATAGCGGTCACCTCCAATGTACGTGGAAGGGAGAATGAACAGTCGTCCCGCACGCACGGCATCGGCTTCATCTTCAGCAAGACCGGAGTCTCCTAGGCTGTCGCGCAGTGAGGTGTAGTCGGCGGCTCGAAGTTGTGTCTGGTTGTGGCTGTAGCATAAACACCCCCAGCGGAGAGGGGTGTATGCACAGCTCGACGTAGACCCCGTCCGATCGGGAAGACGGGGGTGAAGCAGGACACCAGCTAACGGCACTGGGCAGCGGGCCCGGGTAGCGTGGTAGAGCGGGAACGGGGAGGACGCCGGTACGCGCGAGCGGTTCGACGCCTCGACGCCCCGGCGCGGTACTGGGTAACGATCCAGTACCGACGGGCGGAGGCGGAGCCGGCTCGTGGGCGTACCGCGCGCGTCTTCAACCCGCGCTCGGTGCCGCTCTAAGGTAGTTAGCGAGCGCTACCTTAGAATAAGCGGGAAGTCGGACCTTGACGGTCGTTGGGTGACAAGTCCGTGCTTGTCCTCCTCCACCGCCGCCGGTCCACTCCATATTTAATGTACATAATAACCTATCATAATAGTACAGTACCGATGTACTGTAGCGGTCGGTCGACGCTGTAATACTGTCAGCCATCGGGGCTGACAGTACACGTGTGTGCGCGCTCTTCGGTCCCGCGCGTACACGTGTACACGTGCGCCCCCTGTACTCGGGGGTACACGTGGTGGTACTGTAGAGCATCGAGCCCTACAGTAACCGATCCGATTCTGAGTTGATCTAATCTAAAATAAAGCCCCCAGGGGGGGGTTATACCACACGGCCCCCCCCTTAAGGGTGACCGTCCGCGGTCGCGTGTCGTGGTAGCTTTCGTTGCAGCAATCCCCCTTGGCGAGGGGTGTCGCGTGCTGTCTCCCCGATAATCCCTCCTTTCCACTTCGTGACTACTCTGCTTCCACTCGCGCACGCCCGCTTGCTCGTCACGCGCGCCGGCGGCTCCTCGCGTTATGACACCCCCGCTCCCCGCCTCGTTGGGGGACGCTACCGGTCCGTCCACCGCGGCGGCCGATGCCGCGGGTGTCTCTACTCCCCCCTCCGTGGGTCCCGTGGCTCCTACGAGAGCGCCTGTCATCGCGTTCCAGAAGTCGCGGCGCGCTCGTACGGCCTTGGTGTTCGCGCCGGCAAGAGCCGAGCCGTTGCCAGCGTCGGAGGCCAACGAGCCGCGTCGGCCAGAGTCGGACCCCGGCGTCGCGGCGCCGGTCACTCCCCCCGCTGGCCTCTCCGAGGCCCTCCGTCCCCGCAGTGCGGGTCCTTTATCGCAGGGACCCGGCATCTTGTTCCCGGAATCCCCGGGTTCGCGCGTCGCACCCGTTGGCGACCGCGGCTCCGGTACGGTCGGCGAGGCGGCCCTCGTGTCGTCAATCACCAGATGGTTCGGCTCACCTCTAGAGCGCTCTGCTCCTCTCCCTCTCGAGCAGCTACAGTACGGCTGGCTTCGTCACAGCCGTACCGGTATCACCCTTGGCGAATTACTCACACGCCCTCAGCTTCGCCCTGATTTGCGGCGTATCCGGCAGATACACGACGTAGGCCTTTCGGAGGCGGCCTCCGCCGCCCTTGGGCGGTTGGTGTCGGGCGGTAACGGCATTGTCTATCAGATCCCCGAGGAGATCCCCGGGGATCGCACATTCGCCGACAGTGTTGACGAGGTGCTCTACATCGACAAGATGGCGTTTTTCCTGTATAGTCGGAGCGCAGTCGACGCTCATCGTTTCCTCCTTCCCGAGGTCCCCGGTCTGTACGTGACTCCGCGCCCCTACGGCTACACGAAGCCTCGGGTCGCGCTGCAAAAATCAGCCTGCTCATTAATGCGCTTGTATGCCATCGGGATCGCGCAGTACGACTGGTCCGTCTACCGTCACTCCGCCGAGGAGGACGGGCGCGTCTACTCCTCGGCGGCTTTCGAACGCGGCTTATCCATCGAGGATTTCCCCGCGTTGCCCTTCTCGGTCCGGGCGTCTTTTCCGTCGCTAGGGGTCCATCCCCTCCTCCCGCCGGCCCTCAAGCACTTTGGTTTTGCGGGTCTCGACCCGCAGCACCCTTCCCACTCCCGGTTGGTCTATAATTTCGAGAGGGAGTGGGCCTTGTCTCTGTGCAGTGCCTTTATGGCCGAGGTTGGTGCGCACGGACGCGTGTTTCTACAGTCGCCCGACACGATCGCGTTTCTTGAGCGAGTGACGCCGGGCCTTCCGGACGCTCCTACACACCCTCTCGAGCGCGTGTCCGTTCACGTACGTTGGTCATTTCGCGCCGTGGTCGTCCTCATGACGAGAGCAGCGGAGGTGAGCGAGCGCAACCACCGGTACTGGACGGACTACACGACCGGAGGCCAGAGCGCATATCTCTCTTACGACTTGACATCCGACTCCTTCGTTGCGCGCCCGACGGCCGGCTCGACTTCGGTCGAGCTGCCGGGCAAGCGCGGCGGAGTGGGGTCTGAATCGCGGCGAACTCGACGCAAGCGATACCGCGATTTGGACGCTGTAGCTGCAGCTCCGGTCCTCTCAAGTCTTCAACCTCCTTGCTTCTCGCCTTCCGTTCCTCTTGGCACTCGTGCCGGGTCGCAAGTCGCGACGGGGACCCAAACGACGGCTCCGATGCCGCCCCTTCCTCCTCCGGGGGTTCCCGGTTCCCTGGGGGTGGCGGTTCGAGACCTCGGCCTCTCGAGGAGGGACATCGAGGGTATCCCCGCGCTCGCCGGGGTTCTGAGTGCGTCTGGCGAGCGGTCGTGGACCGTGGGGGCTCTTCTCTCCACACTGGTGGAGTGGTTCCTTGCCCGGAGCGCGGAGACGCGTCGTATCACTGGGGAACGTGACGCGCTCTCTTTGGCGTGGCAGCAGTCACAGCGCGAGGTCCACTCCTTGCGGGAGGAGGCCCGGGTACAGGCCAGCGCCTACGAGCGCGCGGCGGCCGATCGCGATCGGTACCGCCAAGAGCGCGACCAGCTGCGAGGTGCGCCTCCGGCGGGGGTGCGCGGGACCAACGCGAGCACGCCGGTTCTGCGCGACCGTTATGCTCCCTCGGGGGGTATCATTCGCGACCCATACGGCTCAGACGGCGCCGGGGCCAACCCGACTGCCGCTGGTGTGCCGTCCGGGGCAGCCATGCCGACTTTGGCAGACCTTGATACCGCCATTCGTCGATACCCTGGTTACTGTCCGCTGCGGTCAATGGCTCCCGCCTCAGCGAGGCATGACCGGGAGGACGTTTCCTAACCGCCTTGAGCAGCGTCTAGCGCCGCCCCTTCGCTCCTGTGTCGTAAAAGCTTTCTTCGCCCCCCCTCGTTTTCTAGTGTACATGCGGTCGGTGTTTGCTCCTCTGGCCCTTCCCCTTCCTCGGAGGGTTGGCGACCCGCGGCGAAGTCCTGTCTTCGGTCGTTCCGGGCGAGCGGGCGCATTGGAGGCGGGAAGCCCCGGTGGCGGTTCGCCGAGTGTCGTATTCGTACAACAAGGGGACGTGAACTCCTCGTCCCCTCCTTCCGTTTCGACGGTGCAGCTCGATGTGCTCTGATCCGTGAGGGCCTGTGCTGCCACGCCCAGAGGAGTGGCACGGCCTCGCACGAACCCGCCCCGCCGTCCCGTGTTGCGGCGTTCCCCACGGCCGCCGCTGCGTTTTTCCTCCCGTCGCCTCCCTCTGCCGGCGATCTTCTCGTCTGGTCCAAGGTGGACGGCGCCTCTGGGGGAGGAACGCGGTGAGGGGTTAACGCGCGAGCTCGGACGGGATGGTTGTCCGGTTCGACCGGAATTCGACGAGCTCCGATTGGCCAAATGGTCCTTACGGGGCTGAGGAGTACGCACGGGCAATTTCCGGCATACCCGAATTAACGAGCTCCCATTGGCCAGAAGGCCCCCCGACTCTCTTCCCCGGGTTGAGGAGCCTGTGGAGCGGCTTCTCTCGCTCGTCGGTCCCTTACGGGCGCGCGACTAGCGACGGGTTTACGTCCGCGGCGGGCGTCGTTCTCGTCTTCCCTCCCCCGTCCGGCGTCTTGCTTCTTTCCTCGTCGTGCGCCCTGTCCCCCTCCACATCCATCTGCTTGTCGCCGCCTCCCTTCACGCGCTCGGCGGGCTTCTTGTCCCTGCCGCACCCGAGGCAGACCTCTCGCACTTTGCCTCCTTCCAGGCTGTCGCCGCCGTTCTCTTCGGCGGACTCCCCCTTGCATGTCCAGTGCGCCGCGGCGTCGTACTCTGCCAAGTAGTGTACCTTCTCTCTGCGGGGCTGAATCTCAAGCGAAGTTGAGCCCCCCCCCCACTGCAAGAAGACCGTGATGTGAATGCTGAGGTACCCGATGCGCTCGAGCTACACGCGCGGCGCGAGCGCGTCGTAGATCCAGAACACCTCCTTCCCGCTGCGGTGCATTTTGCGGTACACCGAGGTGAGCCCCCTTGACGTGGCCGTTGATCTGGGCGGCGTGCGCGAGTCTGTGCCGTTCCGGCGTCGTGTCCGTTACCGCTCCTTCGCGGTCCTGCTTTGCCATGGGGCTTTCCCTCACCAAGTCTACCATGGGAGGTCGTCGCGACGAACCGACTATGTCACCCCCCTGCTCCGTCTCAGAACTCCGGAATCCCGTCGTCCCCCTTGCGCATACCTTCGGTTTCACACACGCCACCAACTCGGTTTCTGGAAGTACCCCTCATGCGAATGCCGCCGGTCCGCTTCCTAGGCCATCTCGTAAGTGATGATCCGCATCGACCCGCGAAACTCGCCCTCATCCTTTGCAGTCCACTTTTCAGCTCTGCGCATGAACTCGTATTGTTCTATCGTTTCGTACGCC